GGTGGCCAGCAGAGGAGGGCAGTTGAGAGGGACCAGGCCTGCAAGGGGAGGGCAGTTAGGGGTGACCAGGCCAGCAGAGAAGGGAAGTTGGGGGCAAACAGGCTGGCAGGGGAGTGGTTAGGGGGTGATCAGGCTAGCAGGCAATAGTTAGGGGCAATCAGGAAGGCAGGCAGGTGAGCAGTTGAGAGCCAGCAGTCCTGGATTGAGAGGGATGTCTGACTGCCCGTTTAGGCCCGATTGCACCAGCAGTCAGACATCCCTTGAGGGGTCCTAGATTGGAGAGGGTGAAGGCTGGGCTGAGGGACAACCCCTCTTCCCCCCCCCATGCACAAATTTTGTGCACCGGGCCTCTATTGTGTGTGTGTGTGTGTGTATGTGTATGTATTGCTATTAATAGCTTTATGATTCACATAACATGCACAGTGTAGGATAATTTTTGTTCTTATTTCTATTTCAGGAGGGAAAAAAATAGCTGACTTTGTACTAAAGAGAATACCATATATTCTAAATGTAGGCAGTATTAACATAGAAAATTATTTCATTTCTGATCCTTTGACCTTTCATCAGAATTGGGTGGTGGTGTTTTTTTTTGTTTTGTTTTCTTTTGTTTTGTTTTTTGCCACTGTAAAAAAAGAAGCATTTGATTTAACCTTCCCTTTACGGAGGCCTCTTTTTGCATAAATCAATTTGGAATTTGAGCCTTTTTTGAAATGACATCAATAAGTCAAACCATTCACAACAATTTTGGACTATTGTGAACCATTAATAGGGATTTGGAGATTTGCTTATAAATTGTTGACTTCTAATGTCTCTTTTTTACTCCATGCTATTACAGTTTACAATCTGAAATCTATAAAACATAAAGTTTGATCAAGTAATTTCTTGTTCTTAATGTATTCAGGTGAGGTTTGTGGTTGTTTAAATATGAATAGGAAACTATTTCCTTAGTGAGCATCTATTTAATTTATATATCCATTTTTTTCTGGAGTGAAGGAAAATCATATTGTCTAAATTTTCTTGTATGAAATTTTAAAAAGTCAATTATTACTGCTTCTTATTAAAGGAATTGGAAGGGGAAGGACCAAACATTAAGTATATTCAACAAGCCAGTTTCTGTGCTTTACATTTGAAGAGAGTGGATTTGACAAGATTTTAACCCTACTGCTTTGAGTTTATCAAACTTAAAGGAGTAACCACAAAATATTTCTAATGAGTAGGAAGGGGGAAAGGACTTCATTTGTGCATGGTATAGTCAGATATATAATAGAGCAGGAGAGAGCTATTGAGATCTGAGTGAAATTTTTGCTCCTAACTTTCAGCCTGTAAAATAGGAAGAAGTAGGGAAGTTCTCTATATATTCCCAATTTTCAATAACCCCCACTGCCTATTTTTTTCAGCTGCTTCCAGACTGCAGAGCAGAAGGGGAATAAATTACAGATCCCTGTAGCTCTTGTTCACAGACTTTTTGCAACCATTTCTCATCACTTTTATTCATCACTAAACTGGTGAATTTCTCCTTTTCCAGATGATCTTGTCACTTGCTTTATGGAGAAGATTGGAAGAGTGAGATGAGAATTCCCTCATATTCTACCTTTACTTTGTAAATAAAACCTCAAATCCTTCAAAGTCTCAAAAGTAATTCCTTAATCTATCTTCCAGCTTTCTTTACGTAGGACTTGTTCTCAGAGTGGCAGATATATATAGCATTTCAGTTTCCTCTTATCCACAAGCCTTTCTTTTGGCCTTAAAATATTTATATGCTTATGTATTCTGTTCTCAAAAATTGTAATTCTTTTCTTTCCTCCTAACCTCTCCTGTATATAACTTCTATTTTGTTAGTACAGAACCCATCTTCTATCTCTGCTTCTTCCTATTTTTAACTCATTAACACATTGTGAATGGGTCAGAGAATTCTTGCTTCGTATTACACTGTTTTACAAAGCATCATACTTTAAAAAGACATTAGCTTGTAAGAACATGTAAAAAATAAATTCAAAATGCAATGGGTACTTAATTTTAAAGCGTGCCTTTAACATTTATGTAAAACGTTTTTTGTGCTCGTTCAATAGAAACTTACCTGGCCACTGGATAAAGATAGCAATAAAACTACTGGTCCGCAGGGCCCCTTATACTCATACCTGGGTTATGGAAGATAATGATAGATTTTCTTCTAATTGATGAATGGACAAGTAACATGAAACATAAATTTGGCCAGGAAATCAGAGACCATGATGAGCATGGAATGTTGCAATTATAATGAAATATACAGGTAGATAGGAATGAGTCATATTACAGAAAACTTGTCAAGACTTTATTGTAAATGTGGAAGGCAATAAGTAATCAAATATAGATGACATAGCCGGGGCCGGTTTGGCTCAGTGGTAGAGCGTCGGTCTGTGGACTGGAAGGTCCCGGGTTCGATTCCGGCCAGGGGCATGTGCATTGATTGCGGGCACATCCCTGGCAGGGGCTATGCAGGAGGCAGCTGGTCGATGTTTCTCTCTCATTGACGTTTTTAGCTCTCTATCTCTCTCCCTTCCTCTCTGTAAAAAATCAATAAAATATATTTTAAAAAATATATAGATGACATAATGGTGCATTTTAGAAAGATCTGACAAGTACATTTATAGTGTAGCATTAGCATAGAACATATGATTATGCTTTTAGTCATTTTAGTTGGAATACTGTATCTTTAAAAAACAAAATGAGCTTGAAGTCTTTCTAAGAGCAACAAAATTTTAGGAATACCAGAATAATAGAAACCAATTCATCCATTGGATAAATGTTATTTGCCAGGAATAACAAATATATCACTTGCCATTGCAGTAACCCTTGCTCATAAAAAGGTAAGGTGACCAGCCCAAACCGGTTTGGCTCAGTGGATAGAGCATAGGCCTGTGGACTGAAAGGTCCTGGGTTCGATTCCGGTTAGGGAATGTACCTTGGTTGCGGACACATCCCCAGTGGGGCGTGTGCAAGAGGCAGCTGGTCGATGTTTCTCTCCCATCGATGTTTCTAACTCTCTATCCCTCTCTCCGTCTCTCTTCCTCTCTGTAAAAAATCAATAAAATATATTAAAAAAAAAAAAAAAAAAAAAAAAAAAAAAAAAAAGCTAAGGTGACCAGATGTCCTGCTTTTGGCAGGACAGTCCCGATTTTTACCAATTTGTTTTTCCCCAAATCGGGACTGTTTTAAACTGCCGCGGGATGCGGGACAAATTGTTAAAAACTGGGACGTCTGGTCACCTTAATAAAAGGGCATTGATAATTGAACATGAAATTTGTTGCTGAAGAATCTAACATGTAGTCTTGAGTTCATAGAACAACTCTGAGCAGCCGTTACTAATTATCTTTGGTAGTGTGTCTAAACACTTTTACAATCTCTTCTGATTAGGTTTAGGAGTCCAGGGAAGTGCTAATCAAGGTTTCATTAAAGAGTTGGGCCTTGAATGATGAGTAGGATCTCTCCAACCCTATTTTCTTTTGCTTCTGACATGAACTTTGGCCTTTGGCCTTAATGTTCTCCACACGTAACCATTATAAATTATATCTAGTTTTGTTCGTGCTGATCCTCCCAATCTGGAATATTGCTCTCGCCTTCCAGCCCATCTCACTTAATCCGGATTTGATTCAAAACCTCACTAATTCATGATATAGATTCCTTTTCTCTGAATTCTGATAGGTTATCCACACCACCCCTATTCAGATATTTTTTTCTTGTTCTCTAAATGGTCTCTTTGGAGTCTATAATTAGATTATAATATAGTAAAATACTTGATTACCCACAGTAAATACTTGATTGATTGTTGGTGAAATTTACATCATCTATCAGGAATGACTTAAATGTACCAAAAAAAAAAAAAAAAAATCCACAAAAAATCCCACAAAAACCCCTAACCCCCCAAACCAAATAATATGCTAACCACTGCACTGTAAGTGAAATCTAATTGGTTTAAAATGTATTTTCCATTTTTTCGAAACTAAATTGTGTGTGTGTGTGTGTGTGTGTGTGTGTGTGTTTTACCACTTTCTTTAGTTCTACCTTTGATTCCCACATTTAGATTATGGTCAGATCATGTTCTCAATTTTGGTTTCAGACTGAAATTTTAGACTTTAATGCCTAAAGTTCTTCTTCTTGCCTGAAGGACGAGTACTAAAGATGCTTGTTTTATATTTGTTAACTATTTTATAAAAGCAAGGGAGGGCCTAAAATACTTATATAACCCTTTCAATGAGACCCTATGGAGTTTGGGAGCCAGTTTAGTCCTTATTTTTCCTCAGGCAATAATAGTTACTAAATCCACAAGTTTCCATTTGCATCATTTGGTTTACAGAATGACAAGCTGTGACATTTTTTTTTTTTTTTTTTTTTTAGATCGCAACGTTTTCGGGGGCTGGAATTGAGGAAAGTGGGGGGACATGAGTAATGGGTGTCTAGATCAGAGTGCCCCTACTTTCCTCATGCCCGCCCCCTTCTCTCACTGCCCACGTTTCTGGCAGTATCCGTGTTAAGAAGCCTTAATGTGCCAAAACCGGTTAGGCTCAGTGGATAGAGCATCCGCCTGCGGACTGAAAGGTCCCAGGTTCGATTCCAGTCAAGGGCATGTACAGTACCTTGGTTGTGGGCACATCCCCTGTAGGGGGTGTGCAAGAGGCAACTGGTCGATGTTTCTAACTCTCCATCCCTCTCTCCTCTCTGTAAAAAATCAATAAAACATATTTTAAAAAAAGAAGGGGGGGGGAAAAGAAGCCTTAATGTAATGCTTAATTCAAATCCTCCAGTACCGAGAGAAGAAGGCAGAGAGAGGTTTTTACAGAGGCATTTTAAAAATGCTCCTGGCGGCGGCTCCAGAGCTGTGTTTTCTTTTCCCTTTAAAACCGCGGGGGCGGGGGCGGGGGCGGGGGCCAGCGCCGGGCAGAGTGGAGGGCCCCGCGGCCCGTCCATCAAGGGAGAGGCCCGGTCGGGAGTCCCTGACCCCGCCCACCGGGCAGCCCGGCCGCGCATGCGCGGAGCCGGCTGGTCGGGAAGTTGTTGGCTGGGAAATGGCGGCCGCGGGCTTGGTCGCTATGTCCGCAGCTGCAGACTGTGCGGGCCCAGGAGCGTCGGGAGGCAACCTGCCCGGTGTTCCCTGCGGCCCGAGCTCGGGGACCTGTCCCGGTCCCGGCCCGGGCTCGTGGAGCCGCTCCCTCGACCGGGCGCTGGAGGAGGCGGCGGTCACCGGGGTGCTGAGCCTGAGCGGCCGGAAGCTGAGGGAGTTTCCCCGGGGAGCGGCCAACCACGACCTGACGGACACCACCCGCGCGGGTGAGCGGGGCCCCGGGAGGCATTCCTGCCGGCGGAGGCCCTGGGCGCGGCCGGAGCCGCCCGGCCCGTGCGGGGAGGACGCGAGGGTGGTCACCGGGACCCGGGTAACGGGGGGAAGGCGGCTGCCCCGACCCGCCCGGCTCCCGGCTCCGCGGGCCGGCCCCGAGCGCGGGGCGCGGCGGACGCCAGCATCTCCGGGGGAAGTTAGGTGCCAAGCCCCGGGTTCTGCAGGCCCCTGCGGATTTGGGAGTCTAGCTAGTAAATTGACTTTGCCGCCCTGATCCGTTTGGCTCTGGCGAGAGCGTCGGCCTGCGGACTGAGAGGTCCCGGGTTCGATTCCGGTCCGGGGCGTGTGCCTTGGTTGCGGGCACATCCCCAGTGGGGTGTGTGCAGGAGGCAGCTGGTCGATGTTTCTCTCTTATTGATGTTTCTAACTCTCTGTCCCTCTCCTTTCCTCTCTATAAGAAATCAATAAAATATTTTTTTAAATCTTTTTAAAAAAATTGACTTTGCCGAGATTTGGGGTTGTAGCGCGCTCCTAATTAGATCTCAGCCTTGTGGGTCGGCGCACTATCTGGAATCTTTGATCTCAGCGCTGCTGGCGTTGGTTTGAGTTGTTTTTCCGTGGGAACCCGAACGCTGTAACTGTACTTTATCGCCTCCTTCATCTAATTGAGTTTCCATGTGCGCTTGTAAAAATAACGAGAGCCCACCTTCAGACTCCCATTACTTATGCCCCCACTGTCCTCATGCCCGGCCCCCCCCCCCCCGAAAACTTTGAAAGAAGAAGACTTTGAAAAGATACATAGGGTGCCTATCATATCTGTATTTAATGCGTTTAAAAACAAGCACTATTTTGCTTTGTAGGTACTTTTGAACACAGGAAAGATAAGGATTTAAGATTTTCATACTTGGGAGAGAACAGTGTCTGGGTGACTGAGGTGTTCACCACATTATTCTTCTCTTGTGTTTAAAATATAACTTCCTCAGGGGGGTGGGTTAAAAACAGTCTATTCATGTTTTGCACAAATACAAAGGAGGAAAAAAAATCACTCAAGTTTGTATAGTATGGGGTAGTTAAATATTTTATTTCCATATAATGTTTTGCGACCAAAGAATGTTTCTTCCATTTTATTTGCCTTATTTTACTTATCTTTATTTTAAAATCTCCAACTAACACCTTTCTTATGTTTGTGCACTCATTAAAGACTGGTAAATATTACTTATGATTCATTCACGATAGGAAGAGAAACAGAATGTTAAGCTACTTCAGGAAACTTCTTTCCAAAGAAACTTTTGCTCTAGTGTAAAATAGAAGAAATCAAATGCCTACGTATCAAATCTCTTTCTGGAAACAGTTGTACTGAATGTAGTTTGTATTTTTTAGTGAATGACATGGAAGTTAAACTATTGCTAAGGTTAATATAAACAGCCACTTGCCTTTTGCACGTATTCTGATAGATAACATCTAAAATGATCATTTGTATCTCATATCTGATTGTGTTCAGGAGATGGTTAGCATAGCGATTTCATATTGGCATGAGTCATTTCATATTACTACATTAAGCCTGAAGCTAAAGAACAAGTTGATGACAGGAGTTTATCTAGTTCATTCTCTTACTTGCTTTGAAATAATTGTAAGACCAAAGTGTTTTTGCCTTTAGAAAATATTTTAACAAAACCCAAGGGTATGTATGAAGACCAATAAGTAATCCCAGTGAATTTTTCTTTGTGCTCTGAATTTTTAATTTATCATCCATATTTATTATTTTAATATTTTAATAGTTTATACATAAACCACAATTTTTGATGGTTGACATTTATCTGATCAAAAAGTATAAAAAAGGGGGGAAAAAGCCTGAAGGATATTTTCTAACCTATTAGGCTAAATTCATTTTAATATGTTAGAAATACCATGTATTAAGTATAAGAAAGCTTTGGGCCAAAACCGGTTTAGCTCAGTGGATAGAGCATCGGCCTGTGTACTGAAGGGTTCCCAGGTTCGACTCTGGTCAGGGGCATGTACCTTGGTTGCGGGCACATCCCCAGTGGGAGGTGTGCAGGAGGCAGCTGATCAATGGTTCTCATCGATGTTTCTAACTCTCTATCCCTTTCTCTTCCTCTCTGTAAAAAATCAATAAAAATATATTTAAAAAAAAAAAGCTTTGGTACAAAAACACTGAATTATTATTTTTAATCATATAGTTTGATGTGAATAAACATCATTTATTGAGTTTTCAGTGTTTGCTATTCAATGTGTTAGGTAGGTGTTTTAAAATACATTGCCTTGTTAAATGATTGATAACCAGTGGATTAAATATTATTGCATATGAGCATTTCCTCAGCATTTACAGATGAGGAATCGCAAGTCATATTAGCTAGTATTAGTGGTAGAATGTCAGCCTGGGTCCATCTAATTCTTTCCACTATATCATATAGCTCTTTTATGTACAGAAAGGTATTACCATTCCTGTTTTTACAGGTAGTGAAACCAAGGTTTGGAGAGAGAAAATAATTTGCTCAAAGATCTTTAGCTAAAGGCCAGGGAAGGTGATATTAGCTAGGATTTGAGCCTAGTTTGAGGTAATTCCAAAACCATAGTCTTATCTGTTAAAACAGGTACTTAGTTGAAGTTAGCCCCAACTATTAGCTAAAGTGTTTTGTTTAGACCCTATGGGAAATTTTAAGCCAAGAAAATTATTTTAATCCTGCCACACAGTTCTTTGATAATATATAGAATGTATCTGGTAGAGCTGCTGTCCTTCAAGAGTTTTTATCCCAAGAAACAGCACGCATTACCCATACCATTTATAAATCGACATGATTAGAATTCATCGTGGAACCTTTTTTGGAGGTTCTCTCCTGTTTGTTTAAAAAAGAAGAGCTTTAGAAAAAGGGAGATCTTTACTTGGAATGAGTGACTCGATTCAGTAAACAAGGAAAATCTTAGAAAAAATCACAGAAGACTTTTGGGGGCAGAAATGACGTAGCTTAGATTTGGGTAAGCAGAAATGAAAAGGATAGCCTTTCCAGGCACTGGTGGACATGCAAAAAGTCTTAGAGTCTAGGGCACATCAGTTAATTTTGCCATACATTCCCCTTTCCTCTGATAACAATACAGTACTCCACTTTTCCTAGGGAGCCACCCCTCTCAGTTACATAGATCCCACCCTGACACAAGGATGTGCACTTAACTCAGGCCTAGCCAATCAGTGTTGTCCGTCCCTCTGTCCACAGTGATTATTCAGAGAAGGGCATCTTTTCCAGTCAGCACACATGAGTGCTAATTCAGAATTTTTTATTCACACTATTGAGAAAAAGCCATGCTTTAAAGCACATGTGTCAAACACAAGGCCTGCGGGCCAAATCCGTCCTGCCAGGCCTTGCAATGTGGCCCGCACCGCGCTGTCATCACTGCACTCCGCTGCGTTTCCATCACAATGACAGTTTATGACTGTTCAGTAAACCATTCGGCCCGCGATTTAGGCTGGATTTTAGATTTTGGCCCCTTTTCTGATTGAGTTCGACACCCCTACTTTAAAGCCTGTGGATGCTGAGAGAATAGAATGTGATCCTGGAACTTGCCAATAAGTGGAAAGCAGAGCCAAAAGATGGTTCTGATGATAGTGTTGGTATCTTTGGATCTGTATGAATCTTTGGATCAGAGAATGTAAGACCTATCTTTCGCATATTCAGTAGCTGGATTGATGATAGGTTTGGAGTGAGGCTAGTCAACATTCATTTATTCAGCAAACATTTATAGACTAAGGGGTTTTGTACAGAGAAGGACCATGACACCTCCTGCCCTCAAAGATTTAAGGGGTCAATGGAGGAATGAATAAATAGATGTAAAGATTACATGAGTTATCTAATAATAGTGAAACTTTTATGTATTAGGCATATGCTAGGTAATATATTGAAATAAAAATAGAAGAGGTTCTACTCTTTAAACATAAAATCTAGTAATCTGGTTAGACGTCTGTGATGATAATCCTAATCTATTTGGGAATGAAAAACAGATTGTGTCAGAAAATAGGCCCAGCCTGTGTGTCTGAGTGGTTGAGCATGGATCTGTGGGCCAAGAGATCATGGTTCGATTCCTGGTCAGGCTATATACCTGGGTTGTGGGCTTGATCCCGGTGTGGGGTGTGCAGGAGGCAGCCAATCAGTGATTCCCTCTCTGCATTGATTCTTCTATCTCTCTCCCTTTCCCTTCCTCTCTGAAACCAATAAAAAAAAAATTTTTTTTTAAGAAAAAAGTATACAAATGCTGATTGAATTGATTAAAAAACAAAACAAACAGAATCTGTCAAAGATTACTGAGCTATTAGAACCTGGATGACTAGGAAACATGGTAATGCTACTGATAATAATAGTAGCTAACATTTATTGAGCTATTAGCGTGTTCTAGGTATTATACTAAGCTGTACATATAAAACATGCACATATAAAAACCATATGAATTATAAGTACATAAAAATGGAGACAAGATTAATCTGATCAAGGTGGTTATTCTCAGCTAATAAATGACAGAGCTGGGATTCAAATTCAGGTACATCTGATCCTAAAACTTGTTTTTTATCACAAGCCATACTGACAAAGAAGTTTGGTACACATACACATAATTTATTTGGTTTGCATGTTTTCTTTAAAGGGCTGGTGGTAGCACATCTAGTTAATCATGTACAAGAAATAAAGATTTAAATCTGGAGCTTTAAAGTTAGGGCTCCAGCATAAATTTGAGAGAGTCATAATAGTTTATAAGATACTTGGAGAAAGAATGTAGAGAGTGGAAAAGCTGGTCACTGACAACCATGGAATATTCATTTATTTAAAAAGGCAAAAAGAGGAATTAGCCTGTTTCATAACTAGGCCTGTACTAGAATTCTGAGAATCCTGAAAACCAAACGAATCATAATACTCTAAATTATTTTACACATGAGAAGTAGCAGTCTCAAAAAGGTTAAATATGTTTAAGATTATATGGAGATCCTAACAAC